CTATAAACATCGGGGTGCACGTACCCCTTCAGATCCCTACATTTGTATCTTTGGGGTAAATACCCAGTAAGCACTGACATTTTAACAGTGTTAAGTCTCTGTGCACAGAACAGGACCCATGTCTCTCTGTGTCTCAGGGGCTGTGGTCATCGCCTTCGTGGTCTGCTGGCTGCCCTACCATGTGCGGCGCCTCATGTTCTGCTACATTTCCGATAAGCAGTGGACCCCGTGAGTACCAGGAGCCTGGGACAGAGGGGGGAGGCTCAGGTTGGGAGAAGCTCCCCAAAACAGGTTGACATGGGAGGTGGGGGCGCTGACCAGAGCAGCTCAGGGCAAGGGTACAGGTCAGGGGTCCCCACGGGTTCGTGGTGTGTCCGTGAATGGGCTAGGGAAGGCAGAAGGCCACGGAGGGACAGACGCCACGGGGCAGGTTACAGCGGAAAAGGAAAGCAGCCCCTAAGAGAGTGGGAATGAGACAAGTTTGGAGACATCTGGAGAGTGACAAGGAAGGGCTGGCTCTGCTGGATTTGGGGGGCGGTGATGGCAGCTGTGTGGGCATCCTAGACCACCCCCAGGCTGGGGGAGTCACTAGGCACACTCCCCGGACTCAGGGAGAGCCACACCCACGCTGTGCCCTATCGCAGCCCAAGGACACACAGCAAAATCAGTAAAAGGAAAAGCCCGCGGAGGAGTCTGGGAGACCAGGCACGGCTTCCAGAACCCCTCCCCAGGCTAACTGCCCCAGAACGAGCTGAGGCCACATGAGAAATGGTGTCTCCCGGGAAGCTCGCCAGAGGCCCAGCGCCCAGGGCTTCTGCTGCGGGCCAGTCACGTAAGCACCCCTGGCTGGCGAGCGCCCGAATTCCAGACTCCCAGGGGGAAGGAGCTGCTCGGCATCAACCACGTTGTTTGCACAAACAGTTTAGGCCCAGGGAGCCCCTCCTCTCAGGGAACAGTGAATCCCTGAAATCCAAGCTCCCAGACAGTGGCGAGGCCAGCCTGGCCAGGAGGCCCTTCTGGGAGAGCAGCCCTGGGCCCACCATGGGAACTTCTTTCTGCACAGCCAGAGCCTGGGCTGCCAGGTTCTTCTCCGTGCCGAGGAACCACTGGGGAGGGCGGATCTAGCACAGAGGAGAAGGTGCACGTAGCAGAGCACAGCCCCAAGGGAAGGGCTTCTGAAACTCAGGGCTGCCTGCTGGTAAAGTGAGCTGCCTGGTGAGGGAGTGAGATCCCTGGGAGTGGAGGCAAGCAAGCTGAGGGTGAGGTACGCAGCTGCCCAGGAGGCAAGGAAGGGGTTCCTGCCCTGGCTGTTCAGTGGAGGCCGGGGACCAGCCGTTCCCTGCAGCCCTGGCATGCCGGGACTCTGCACAGGGCAGGCCAGGGGTCCTGCAGGGAGAGGTGGAGACGGGCCCGGCAGGGCAGCCACAACCCAGCTCCGCAGACTGGTGCCAAAGGGAGTGCAGGCAGAACTTCCAACTTCTCCAGAGAAGCCAGAACCTGGAATTTATGAAACATCCCCATGTCAAAAAGTTTACAAGTAGTTCTTACGATTTTTGTCCCAAGCCCACGGCGTGGCGGCCGCGGGGTCCGTGCCGGTCTGAGCGCCTCTCCCTCACCGCCCCCCCAGGTTCCTCTACGACTTCTACCATTACTTCTACATGCTGACCAACGCGCTCTTCTACATCAGCTCCGCCATCAACCCTGTCCTCTACAACCTGGTCTCCGCCAACTTCCGCCAGGCCTTTCTGTCCACCCTGGCCTGCCTCTGTCCCTTGTGGGGGCGCAGGAGGGAGAGGCCAGCCTTCTCCAGGAAGACCAACAGCGTGTCCAGCAGCCACACCTTCTCCAGCAACGTCACTCGGGAAACGCTGTATTAGAGCGGGGCGGGAGCCCGAGGAGGGGGCGGCCGCTTGGCCTCCACCCCCCCACCGTGGCCCCCCTGGCCCCGGGGGGCAGGAACGGGGCTCCGCAGAGGCCTCAGACCTGGCGCCCACCCCCAGGGGCCCTCATTCCTTTCAGCGTCTCCCTCAGCCCGCCCCACCCCTCCCTCGGGGCCTCTTTGAAAGCCAGGGAGAGATTGCTCCTCTCCGGGATCCAGAAAGGGCCTTTAATGAGGAGAAATTAGTGGTGGGTGAAAGGCAGACTTCTTTGTTCCCACACCACTGGGTGTTCAGAGAGGACAGAAATGAAAGGCACAGGCCTGGCTGGGCGGGCAAGGGGAGGCAGCGGCCCCGAGAGGCGGGGGCGCTGGGAGGAGTCCGGCTGGCGGGGCCGTCGCGGTCATCCAGGCTCCCGGGAAGCTTTGATGTGTCCCAAAGGACAGCCCAGGGGTCGGCTGGGTCAGGCACCGGCCAGACCCAGGCCTCTCCCTCCTCCTCGCCAAGACGGCCAGGCTCTGCAGGGACGCCGGCCACCGGGGGCTTGGCCGGGAAGTCCTCGTGCTTGGCAGAGGCCAGGCCAGCGGAGTTCTGCGTCCTCACACCCGCCCGGCGGCCCAAGCCAGGCCGGGGACGTCCCCATGGGCATTTTTGCTCCCGCTGCACGGGTGAGCTCCCTGAGGGGAAGGGGGGCTCCCTGAAGGGCAGAGGTGATGGCCGGGTCCCAGAGAGGTGCCATTTGCAGGGACTCAGCCACAGGTGAGGAGGAGGAGCCTGGGCGCCCTCAGCCCGCGGGCAGCCAGGCCGAGGCCCAGCGTCGTGGATCACGGCCGAGCCCCGGGCACCCAGAAAGGCAGGCACCTCCTTGATCTGTAAGAGCCGGTCTCTAGACAGGATGGCCTGTCCTGGTCTTGGCCCTAGAAGGTCCCCTGAGCCAGGGAAAGCAGATCCCAGATGAGCTGCCCTGGGTAAGCTGACGGGGAGCGGCAGACGGGCCCGGAAAGTGAAATACAGGCTTTGTTTAAAGTAGGTTCTCACCGTCCTGAGGGAGACTGTCAGGCCCACAGCTGTGAGCTGCACTGACTCAGGACGCAGGAGGCCTGGTCCGCGTCCCAGGGCACGAGGACTCGATCCCCTACCCATAAAAATGACAAGCTGGAGAGTCCCGTCTCCACGGCGGCTTTGGATCTGGGCCCCTACGTGAACCCCACAGGATCCTTCTCCAAGCCACAGGACCTTTCCCGGGCAGTCGGCCCACCGCCGGTCCGTGGCCAGGCAGCCCTCCCATGACCTGGGGGCCACCCGCACGGGGGATAAGGCCCACCCAGATCTCACACACAGGCATCTGCTCTGGGCGGGTGAGTGGGACCCCTGGGCCCTGCCAGGCAGGCAGCGAGTGGTCATCAGTTCGGCCTTGTCCGATGCCCAGGCAGTGGGCATCGGACAAGGGCCTGGACTCCTCCTGATGGGCCCTCAGGCACCCCCCACCCCCTGCCGGCCCCTCGGGCACACCTGATCCTCAGAGCCTCGGTTCTGCCCCCTGACGAGTGCGCGTGGTCGTTCAGCCCCCTCGGCGGGGCTGACGGTGCCGGTCCTGGAGGACCCAGCCCGGAATGGACGGAAGAGACGGTTCCCTGGGGCGGGGGCAGATCAACTAGGGATGGGGGCCCCCACCAACCCAGGGCCTCCTAGACGCAGCTGGGCCAGGGTGTGCACTGCGGCCCCCAGCCCATTTTACTGTTGTGGTCCCCACGTTCCCCTGTGCACACTCCCTGCAGTTAGAGATGCGCAGCCCCGCGGAGTCAGCGGCTGGCCACGTCCCGCTGTGGCCCCCCAGCCGTTCTCAGCAGCCAGCGGCCTGCTTGGCTGCTCAGTAGTGATGCTGAAAGCCCTTCATGTCGCTCACACAGACATGCCCCAGCCCTCACCGTGACATCCCGCCATCGGCAAGAACAAAGCCCCGAGTCTCTTAATAAAGGAGACTGTGGCCCCCGCGGTTGGAGTCTTCTGTCGGGGGCCGGGAGGCCTGCTTGCACCCGTTTGTTCACTCACACATTTATTCAGCAGGCATTTGCGGGCACAGCAGACAGCCCTGCACTGGGACCCTTGTACCCAAACCACGCGGGCTTTGCTCACATCTCCCAAAGGCTGGGGGACTGAGGGACCGCGATCCCCCCAGCTCAGGTCCTGCCCCCACTGGAGCGTCAAGAAGCAGCAGAAGAGGAAGGAACTGGTGCAGAAGACCCCATACGCCATGGGGTCCCCTCGAGGCCTGGAGTCAGGGAGACCCGGGTCCACGCTGGCTATGTGATGAACACCCTGCCTGCCCTGAGCCCGTTTCCCACTCCGTGGGCTGGGCACAGAGGGGGCCACATGACGGGCCTGCGCAGTCCTGCGAGTGGTGGACTCTGGCCCCTCCAGCCAGCACAGAAAATTGAGGGAAGGAAGTCGGCTTCCCGCCAGGGGTCAGTGGTTGGGGGGACACTTGGGAACCCATCCCCTGACACAGCTGCCCCCCTTGTCTCCTCTCCGGCTTCCCCTTCTAGGCCTTCACCTCTTGCCGGCAGTGTCCCCACGGAGTCCAGCCTGGGGGACAAGCAGCATCGTCCCAGGCTATGGGGCTGCAGGGAGGGCCCTCTGTCCTGCCTCCTCGAGTGTCCTCAGCCGGAGGAGCCGGCTGGCCTCAGAACCACCGCACACCTGGAGGCCAGCTTGCCAGGCCCAGCCCACACCGTGTGCACGCACAGAAGCTCCAGGATGCGGGGGCCTGCGCCTGCAACAGCTTCTCTTGCAGAGTCCCACCCCCGCCCTTCACTCATTCATTCACTCACTCATCGATTCAGCTGCTGGGTGCAGAGGCCCATGCCTGTCCTTCCCTTCATTCATTCATTCACTCACTCACTCATTCACCTGCTAACTGCTCCTCAAGGCCTGGCTTTCTCAAAGCTGACTTGCTGCTCCATATTCTGATTGGCACAGGGAGGAGGTGTGAGGCTCTGGATGCTCCCATCTCTGCTGTAGGAGTCACCTTCCCCTCGTCAGCAGGGGAGTCTCAGGACTCCCCTTCACTCCCAGGGTGAGGGGCTCACTGGCCAGCTCCAATAGGTGCACTGACATCCCACAAAAATATCCAAAGGAATGAAACTCTAATGGTAGAATTCAGGGCAGCCAAGGAGAGAAAAGTTGGGGGACAGTGGGCAGGCAGTCTGCAACCCTGACCGCAGGTCTGTGGCACTTTCCCATGAGTCCAGAGCCCTAGACAAGCCCCTCCTGCAAGTTTCCTGAGCTTGGATCCCCGTTGCCCCTGTGCACAGGAGAGGAATCCACCCTCCCGGCTCTCCTGGAGGCATCCTGGCCTATTACCATCACTAGGCAACAGGAGGAGGGCTTGGGAGGGAATTCCATACGTTTAAACATACACTCGAAGGAAGGAAAACGCGGCCATCAGCCTGGGCCTGCCGCTGGAGCCTGAGCTCGGGACAAGCTCCCCCCACACCCTCTCCCTCCTCCCACTGCCCCAATTATGATTTGAATTCCAGTTTTTATCAGAACTCCATGGAAACCAGGTCCAGGCTGAATTTATGAAGGGAATGACGGTGTAGGGATGAGGACAAGGGGGAGGCCGGGCGCCAGAGTCAGGAAGCGAGGAGCCCACCGTGCTGCACGTGGAGGGGGGCACACGCGTGTGCACACACACACACATGCACCCACACTCGAGGACACTGGCCCTTTGCCCCGTTGGGCCTTCTCCCACGGTGCTGAGAGGCTGCCAGTTGCAGCCTGAGGCCCAGCTTCTGAGGTGCAGACCACGGGTGCCTGGGCCTCTCGGCTCCCACCTTCCCCACTCGCTTCAGGATGACGAGCCATGTGGGGGCCTCGCGCTGCTCTAGGAAGCCCCTGGGGAAGGCCCAGCCAGGCCCAGAACCGGGGCAAGACCCGTCAGCTCAGCCCCAGCCACCCCGACCTGTCAACTCTGACAGGGCCCCTCGGGGAGCGGCGGCAGGGACGGGCACCAGGCCTCACTCACCCCGCACCCGGGCCTCGTTGGCAGCAGCTGACTCACACAGGGGCTCCGAGGCCCACACCCCAGGGAAGCTTTTTTTTAAGATTTTATTTATTTATTTGAGTGAGAGAGAGCACAAGCAGCGGAACAGGCAGAGGGAGAAGCAGGCTCCCCGCCGAGCAGGGAGCCCAACGCGGGGCTCAATCCCAAGACCCCGGGGTCATGGACTGAGCCACCCAGGCGCCCGGGGAGTCTTGTTCTCATCCCCAAGCAGGGTTCTCACTGTCTTGTTTCAGCTGGGAGTTGAACAGGAGCCCCTGGGCTGTCTCTCAGGACGCCATGAGAAACGCTAACCCTGCCATCTGGGTTTCAGTCAGACCCCTGCCCTCACATGCTGATCTTTGCCCACACAGAGCTGGTGCTTACTAGATGCTCAGAAAATCTAATGAGCGAACCAACAGGCAAGCGTCCGCGTCCCTCGCCGGTTCCTGCTGGGGGCTGTAGGGCCCCTCGTCACTAACGCACGGCGCCCGGAACTTCACGGACACACAAGGTGAACTCGAGGCAAAGCCGGACCCACTGTGGCGTCCCCTGGAATGACACAGCCCCAGATCTGCAGCCACTGGTGCAGCTCAGCAAACCTCCCTCCAAGCACAGCCTGGAGCCAGACGAACATGCACAGAACATTCCGGCAAGCATTCCTATAAGGAAGCAATCCTGCAGTGAGGATGGATGGTAGCCAAGGGGGCCGCGGCTGGTCTGGGTGCTGCCTGGCATGGCGTGAGGGCACAAGTCCCCCGCCCCCGGGTGTCCCCTCGGGGCCCTGCAGGTGGGCCAGAAGACCTGAGGGGCTCCCAGGCCCCCTGTCTCTCGGGAAAGCAAGAAGTTCCCGAATCTGAACAAAACTCCCAAAAGGACATTTTGCTTGCCGTCTGTTGTCAGCTAACCCCCTCGGTTTAGAGGCTCAATCCTCGGCCCCATTTGCCTCCCAAGACCCCGAGTGCCCGTGGGTATCCCAGGTTGGGGGCTCCACCCACCATCACTATGCTGGGAGGGAAGTTGGTCCCCAGCAGCCTCTGCAGGGTGGCCTGGACGAGCACGTGCCTCCGAGTCCCAGGGCGCCCAGCAGGGAGGGCAGGCTCCAGGTGCCATGTGCGGCTGGCACCTCCCCTCCCCACCCTGCTGGCGCCCAGGGATTGCCTCCCCGATCAGTGACTGGGGGGGTGGGACTCAGGGACCGGGTCACGAGGGCCCCGCTGCTGGCTGTCTGTGGGGCCGGAGCTGGGGAATGAAGGAGTCACTCAGGCAACATAAGGCTGCCCTACCAGTTCCTACCGAGCTAACCTTTCCCCTGAATCCACCTGCTGCTTATTTCCACCTGCTGGTATCACTGTGCACAGTCCTCAGGCTTTGCTCTTTGCTTTCCATGCAGAGTTTTTAGCTTTTATTTTATTTTATTTTATTTTTTTAAATGTTTTACTTATTTATTCATGAGAGTCAGAGAGAGAGAGAGAGAGAGGCAGAGGCAGAGGGAGAAGCAGGCTCCCCACCTAGCAGGGAGCCCGATGCGGGACTCGATCCCAGGACCCCGGGATCATGACCTGAGCCGAAGGCAGACGCTTAACCATCTGAGCCACCCAGGCGCCCCAGAGTTTTTAGCTTTTAGTAATCCGTGGGACAGAACGTCTGCCTCCGGCTTTTTCCGTCTCACTTGGAGGTGTAAGCGTGCAACTTACTTTTGACACTTCTGACATTTTAGAGACTGTTCCGAATCTGCTCATTGAGAGGCACATCCTTCTTCCCACAACTGCGGATGTTCTGAATGGACACACCAGTGCATCATTTCCAGGCCTTCCCTCTCCCCAAGAAGCACAGAAGCTTGGCCCGTCTTCCCCTTTGCTCCTACACGCACCTGCTCCATCCATCCCTATGGTGGGATCGGAATTTCTGAGCCGCAGGGTCTGTGCATTTTTAATTTCACTGCTACAGCCGAACGCTTTCTGCAGATCCATGTCAGAGCACGTCCCCACCGGCGTCCAGGGGCTTGCCATGAAACTCTTCTGTCCCTTCAAAGAAGGTTCTGGCAGAATGTTCCATGACATTCTCTCTCTGCCCCTGGGAGTTCAGAGGAAAACGTCAGCCTCACTGAACCTCCAGCATGAGCCATTTCCTGTAATCTGTGCAGGGAGGCCGGCTTCCCCGGGGTTGCCTGTCACACACTCGAGCACCTGCGGCAGACGGCCGGCTTCCCCGCCGCCCCTCCCATCTCTGCTGGGGGACTCCAGGGGGCAGAACTGCTTCGGGAACAGAAGGGGATCTGACCTTGGGTTGCTTATTTGCACAGGTAACTGCAGCCCCAACCAAACCCTCCTGGTCCCACTGGAAATGACTCTCTTGACTCACCCCTTCCAAGCAGAGGCTCCCCCCACCTCCCAGGCAGCGATTTCCTGTATTGAGCCCTAGACGCTTGCCCAGAGGGCCTTTAGGAAACCACGCTGATTCTCTCGAGTGTTTGTGTGTCTTGTCAACATGAGATGTGGTGGCTCAGAAATACTAAATGAAAATAATAATAATAATAAAATACTCAACAGCTGGCCAAATCCTGAAATGCTGACATTGCATGGAAGCTTCCAGAGAGCTGCCCCCTGCAGGGGCCGCGATGGGCAGAGGATGCCCGAGGCTATCCCGGGAACTCCTGTGCCCCAGCCTGCACTGGGCGGTCCCTCAGGGCAGACAAGTGCCATGGCATCATTCCGTCATTTCACTGCTTTGCCTGACAAAGAGCTCTTGCAGGGGCCACCCTACCACCCGCCTAGTGGCCCACACATCTACCTGTCTGCCTCTTTACCCTTCACGGAGCGTAAGCCCCGCCTCTCAGTCGGGACAAGACAAGAGAGAGAGAACGGGAGAGAGAGGGGTGCCCCCCGCACTCCCTGCCTATCTAGCTGGCTGCGTGCACATTAGCTTTCAAGATGCAAACCTTTTTGCTTTGGGTAAACTGATCCATTCTCTCGTGGAAAATGTAAATGACGTGAAAGAGATGGGTCCCGAGTGCAGAGTTGCTTCGTCCCGCCCAGAGATGATCCCTGCTGGCAGACGGGGAGCACGCTGCGTACACACTCCTGTGCCCGGACGGCAGGCGCGCTCTCACGCCCAATTCCCACCCAAACCTGCGTGCCCCCACGCGGTGCAGCCCATCGCCCGCGCAGTGCTCACTCCCGGTGCACGTTGGCGAAGCCATGTTTTAGACACAAAGTTAAATTTCTGATACTCAGAGGTTTCCAAAAGTAAAATGGCCTGTCTTAGGCAGAGTGAGGTCCCTGTCCCCGGACACCTGCCGTGTCTCTACGTGCCTCAGCTGACCTGGGGGAGCTCAGGCATGAGAATGGCATTCCAGGTGTTCTGCCAGATGGGACGGGGGGCGGGGGGGCAGGCCTTCCTACCCACCCTTCCTTGTCTAGCCACGACTGAATGAGCCAGCGGGGGAGGGGGGACGGGCACAGTGAGGAGGGGGCAGGACGGCAGCGAAACCCCTGCTGCGCCCTGGCCCATGGGTGGCCTCGCACTGGTCACTAAGCAGGAAGGGGGCAGTTCCTCCCACTGGTGAGGAAATGGAGTCGGGGAGGGAGACCCAGCGGCACCCTTCGGGGTCAGCAGCAAGGCAGAGGATGCTCTGCTCTCCCAGCTCTGGCCTAGGGTTCTTTCCACCAGGGGCCCTTCCGTGCCCCCCAAGCATGGGCCGCGTTCAGCCCACCTGCCCCCATATGCCAATGTCGCTTTACTGTCCTTTCTCCCTCCTGATGCGCTTTCCCTGGACGGCCAATGAGCACACAGCTTATGGCTTCTCCAGCCCCAAGTCATCTGAGGAGCCTGATGGAGACATGAAAACCCCATTTCAAAGTCATCTGTATCACGTCAAATTCCCACCCAAACCCCCAGCTCCCAACGCCCTCCAGGGAGCCCTGCCCAGACTGGGCCACCCATGGGGGATGGAGCCTCCAGCTCAGCAAGGAAGCAGAGCCCCCCACACCCCAGGCAGGCTGGTGGCTCTAATCCAGGGAGGCTGCTTGGGGGAAGCAGTGGAGGGGGCAGCCTCAGCCATGCTCCCCCAGAGCCCACCGAGTACGTGGAGATTCCCATGAACAGATTTACTTGAGCCCCTCCTGAGTGCCAGACCCCAGCTATGTGGGGACCCTGAGTTGAGCAGGGTGGGCCCTGGGGCTTCCAAGGAGGATGGATGGGAATCAGGAAAACAGAAAGGAGATAGGAGACTGGGGTGGGCAGTCAGGAGCAGACAGAGTGGCTGGGAGGAGCATGCTTCCCCAGGGTTGGGACAGCGGCCCGTGATAGCAGAAGGCAGCCAAGGGCAGTGGGAGAACGGGCGGGCAGGGCTGCACGACGCAGCTGGGGGCCTCGTTCTGAGCTTCTTGGGGCCGTGGGGGTGGGGGTGACATCAGAGCCCTCACAGAGCCCCCCCATCCAGCCGTTGGCCCAGCCCTGCCGATGGGACCCTGGCGTCCGACGGACAGTGGTCAGCAGGGGGCCAGCAATGTGGGCTCTGTCTACCCACATCAGTCACTGCTCTTGGGCCCAAATTACTCTAATCACGTCCTCCTCCCGGCAGTCAGGCTCCTCTGCGCATCCCTGTCATCCGTTTACATTAGAAAGTGATGCGTCAGTGGGGCCTCGAGGGGGAGAGGCTCTGCCCAGTCGCCCACACCCGATCTCCCCAGCAGAGCAGAGCCCCACCTCCCCTGCGGCAGCATGAGGCCCCTACTGTCCTGCGGGGTGGCCCCACCTCCTGTCTGACCCCTCCAGGCCCCAAGCACCACAGGCTCCCCCATGTCTGACTCCAGGGCCCTGGAACCTCCCACCTGATCCCGTGGCCCACTCTGCCAGTCTGTATGCTTGCTTCAGGGGCACCTACTCTAAGTGCCACGCCAGGGAAGGAGCCTGGATCGGGAGCCATGGGGGGAGGCCCTGGCAGCCCGGAACATCAGGCTGCCTCTCTGGGTCGGGACCCCCGAGTCAGGGCTCCAGGAGGGAGCCTGGGAAGTCTCGTATGGACTGGCCCCTGCAGAGCCTCCCTGCAGCTCCGGAAGACTCACCCTCCTCACCATCCGTTTACAGGGGAGGGAGGGGCTGAGAGAGAGCCCCAAGCAGCCTGTCACCCCTGTCCCCTGCTGCTCTGGGAATTCAGCCTTGCTGGGAGTGGGCAGGAAATGAATTTTAAGGCCCTCTTTCCACCCTGGGTCCTGACCCGCCTCTTCCCCTGCCCCGACCCCAACCTGGCCTCACCCAATCGGAGCACCAAGAAGGGGGAGACATGGATTCTTGCATGATGAGGTGGGGTCTGTGATCCGGAGGCCTCTGTCCATCTAGGTCACCTCACAACGGTGAGCATGACAGACCCTGAATCCTGGGGGGATCCTAGCCGCCCCTAGGATACCTGTGCCTGCTGCCCCCACTCCCCAAACCTGCCTTCGCAACCTCCGCCTCTCCCCCGCCGCTCCCCCCCAGAGGGGCCGTCCCCGTCTGCAGCCCCCAGCACGCCCCACTTACCCAGAAGCGAGGTTTTAGCCCCATGATCCTGCTGGCCAACCATGGGGATAACGACCAAGAGCTGCATTTCTCCAGCGTGACGTCTGTGCTTGCCAATCTCCTACAGTTGCCCGGTCCTGGCCGCGGCCCCGAGATCAAACGTCAGCATAGCCGAGTCACGGGGGCGCTGAGGACGCAGGGTGTCGGGCAGTCTGGACGGGATCGCCAGGCTGGGAGCCGAGGAGGCTGGGGCCTGGACCCAGGACCACCTGTGCCCTCAGCAGCCGAGGCCCCGGGACCCGCCCCGCTCCAGCTCCCGGAGCGGCAAGTACAAACACAACCGTGAAAGAGACCCCTCCCCTTTCCTTCCAGCCTCCAAAATAGAAAACTGGGAATTGTGAATTCCTTCTCAAAGGAGGTGATGTTCCTTTGAGAGGTATAGAAACCTTTTTAAAAGCTACATAAACCTTTCACCAGCTTACAACCCAGGACTGTGCTTCTCAAGGACCCGGGAGTCGCCTCTCTGAAATGGATCCTCGAGGAAGGTGGCACCCCTCTCCCAGCCCGAAGGAGGTAGGAGCCTGACCCCCCAAACTCCCTCCTGCCATAAAGATGCGAGAGTTTAGTTCTCCTTCGATAAAGCCAGTGAGCTGACACAGACGGTCACCCCAGTTACCAGGGGGTTTGGGATGAAGCGCATGGGGTGGATGGTGCTGTGAAGCTGTCCTCCTTGAGAACTAGCCGAACAAGCTGGAGAACGTGTGTGCGATGGGTTGTGTGTTCTTGACTCTAGAAAAGGGTGCGATTTTCTTCTGTCTTTGGCACCTCCTGGCAGATGGTCTGCGATGCACACTGCACTCTGGTTTAGTGCTCATTCGATAATGAAACTGTTCCCCTTCTCTTCCACCTCCATGGAGAGGTCTGCCCGGCTAGCCGATGTTGTTTTTAGTTCTATTTCCCCACAGGCCATGAGTCACTCCAACACCGTGGGCCCGGACTGCGTCCCTCCTCGCATCGCCCGGCTGCTTGCCAGTTTGAAGCTGCTAGACTGTGGGTTCTTGACTCTCTCACACACCGTAGACGTGGCATCTGAGAGAGGGGCATGTGCTGTACCCCAAGATGCTGACACCCCTAAAAATGAAGGGAAGCCCAGCACCGCCTCCCGCGGCCCCAGAACACGCAAGAGCACACGTCCCCAGGCAGCGGGGGCAGGGGGCCCAGCCGGCAGAGCACGCACATCATCACTGTTCATCCACCCAGAAAGCCAGCACCATATGTAATCCGAGGAACCATGACAACAGCCGGTCACCTGCAAACCCCAGGCTGAGCTCGCAGTTCTTCAAAGGCAAGGGCCTGTAGGTGACTTTAAATGATTTTCCATTAATTACTTGCCAGGGAGCCCAAAATAGCTTCCCAATCTGCAAGTCTCCGTGTGAGCCCTCACCGCGACTTATAGCACCAAAGAGGGCCAAGCTGGTGCAGAGAAGTGTCCTTCCCCCTCTGCCCCCGACGGCCTCCCCAGAGGCAGACCGGGAGGGTGTTTCTGTCCTGAAGGAAGAAGCCACCGGGACGTGGGCAAACAGGTACGGCTTCTGTCAGCGCCGAGACCTGCGCATCCAGCCGCAGCTTTGGACGCTTCCACGCCAGCCTCAGACGTGCCGCACTCTGGCGAAGGCTGCCGGCCGGTGTTTGCGGGAGGCGGGCCGGCCACCGACTCGCTGCAGCCGGGGAATGCGTCCCTGTCGCTGGCAGGGCACAGGCACTTTGCAGATGGATTAAGGCCCTAAACATTAAGGTAGGGAGAATATCCTGAATTGCCAGGCTGGCCCAAAATAGTCACATGAACCCTTAAAAGCAGAGAACCTTCTTGGGCATCTCCAGAGGCAGGATGGGAAGTCTTAGAGACCCGAACGTGGGAAAGACCCCGCCGCTTTCGCTGCCTTTGGAGATGGAGACAGAGGCCCAAGCCAGAGATGCCGGGGCAACCTCCACCCACGGCCAGCAAGGACCCGGAGACTCAGTCCTACAGTCGCAAGGACCTGGATCCTGAGCTCAGCCTGGATGAGCAGGCAGTGCTTTCTTCCGGGAGCCTCCCGATATGAGCCCAGCTGGTGGGACCCTGAGCAGAAGACCCAGCTGAGCCCACCAGAATCGGAGATAGGAATCGGAGTTAGTGATCGGTGCTCTTGGACGCTGCTGTGTTTGTGGGGATTTGTTGCGGCCGCAGCAGGAAATGGAAAGGGTGCCCCGCTGTGCAGCTTTGCTCCCACTCCACAAACGGGGCCCTGCCAAAGCAAATGCAGGTTATTTTCAGTCTTCTGCTATTAAGAAAGCTTTGTCCCAGCACATTTCTCTGCAAGCGCATGTAGGGGAGGATAAGCCTGCTCATGAACCCTGAGCTAAGCTCCTCCCCTGGCCCAGTGCAGAGGCTGCTTCCACACACCATTATTCCCGGGACCGCCAGACCCAGGAATGCCCCAGCGCCCTCCCTGCAGGTGCACGCCGATTCTCGGAGCTTTGCAGGCATCACCTGCCTTGTCCTGAGCAGGCTACACCCTGGATCTGAGCTGGGGGCCATGGGTCAGACGGGGCAGGAGCCTTGGATCCCTGTCTTCAAGGAATGGACAGGTCTGAGCTCCCAAACCAGCAAGGCCCCCCTCTCCATGGCATTCTGAGAGCTGTTCTTGAGGAAGATGGCTATAGGGCAAGATGGGCCAGGACAGCAAGGTCCCTGGCGAATGGACAGGGAAGGCAGAAGGCAGACATAGGAGGACAGATGCTCTAACCTAGCTGAGCCCCTGCCTGGGGCCCATGCCTTGCCAGTCCCTTTCTTCTGATGCTTCATAATGTGGCTACTGGCTCCCGGTGCCTATCTGCTCTGCTGGCCACCCCTGCTGAGCCGTTGGCTTTCCCAGAAGGGTCCTTTGTGACCCCCCAGGGTCCAGCTGTGACACAGGCTCAGCACTGGGGTCACTGGAAAGATTGTGTATGGATAGGCTGAATGTTCTGAGTCCATTTCTTACTCAAGTCCAGGAGAAAGCGTTTGCTTTGCAGAAAAATGCTCCAGGTGATTTCTCAACAACACGGAGGGAGACTCCTCTGGTGGATATGCCAGGTCTCTGAGTCCTGGAATTGAGCAGGTTACGTCAAAAATGCAAAGGAAAGAGTTTTGGTCCAACATCTTGGCTTGGCCGTGTGTCCACCACACTGTGAGGTTGGATTCCTTCCCTCCTTCCATCAGGGTTTCCCAGACTTGCCACATGACGGCTGTTGAGCTGTCTGATTTGGACACGGGTGGAGCCCCAGACCCCACAGAGGCAATCATTCCCAACCTCACAATCAGGTGGAGGAAAGAGAAGCCTTCAGGGGGAATCAAGTGTCGATTTTTATGGGAAACAGAATTCTCAGTGGCCAAGAATCAGGGTGTTGGGAAACGACACACAGAGAGAAAAATATTTGTGTCATTCACCACAATGCTGCAAAGAGGTGGGCAAACTGGGATGGCATGGACAGTACAGTTCCGAGGGGGAGAAATAGCTGTCAGATATGCAGAAATATGGTAATGAACAAGAACTCCACATGAACACCCTGTGGCCTCAGGGCAATTGAGCCTCCCACTGCTGCTGACACACTGGCCTTAGCCTTGTTACACTTTTCTTCACTACCAATGTATTATGTTCTCTTATCACCTGTCTCTCTTCTCTCCAGTGTGAGCTGTGTTCACTCCTCAGTGCCTGGCACATAGAGAGTTGGCACCCCTTAAATGTTTGTGGGATGGATGGATAGATGGATGGTCAGTGGATGGATGGGTGGATGGATGGTGGATGGATAGAGGATTGGGTGGAAGGGTAGTGGATGGATGGATGAATGGATGGATGGTAGGTGGGTGGATGGAAGGATGGATGGTGAATGGAAGAAGGATGGATGGTGGATGGAAGGACAGATGGATGGATGGATAGATGGATGGATGGATGATGGATGGTGGATAGATGGATGGATGGATGGTGGATGTATGGATGGGTAGTGGATGGATGGATGGATGGATGGTGGATGCATGGATGATGGATGGATGGTGGATGCATGGATGATGGATGGATGGATGGATGATGGATGAATAGGTGGATGGATGGTAGGTGGATGTATGGATGGATAGTGATGAATGAATGGATGAATAGGTGGATGGATGGATGGATGGATGGATGGATGGATGGATGGATGGATAGGTGGATTTATGGTGGGTGGATAGGTGGATGTATGGATGGATAGTGATGAATGGATGGATGGATGGATGGTTGGATGGATGGATAGATGATGGATGGATGGTGGATGTATGGATGATGGATGTGGATGGGCAGGTAGGTGGATGGATGGATGATGGATGATGGATGGTGGCTGGATGATGGAGATGGATGGATGGTGGATGCATAGCAAAGAAGCTGTGCAGGACACTACAGGAAGAAGCCACTGTTCTTTTCATTGATTGTCTTGTCCCTCTATCTGCAGAGAGGCAACATGAGGAAGCTTCTTGCCTATAGAGCCAAAACAGCAGCTAATAACAAGGCCGGTGCCTGCCGAACTTTGCCAAGGAAATTTCCATTTGGAAATGAGGGTGGTGCTGGGTTTGGCAGCTGCACCATGAGGTGAACTGAAAGGATTTGATGCTTGAGCACACACATCACCATCAGAACTTTCTGCCAGCAGCTTCAAGTGGGGGTGGAACCGTGATACAGCCATAGAACATGAGGGTGGAAAATCAGCCACAGGCCAAGCCCCAGACCCCATGCAGGCTGCCATAACAGGGAACCCCAAAGAGGCCTAGCCCAGAAGCTGGAGATCCAAGCCCTTCCCACTGCTCCATCTACATGGTTCCTCCCTCGGTTAGGGGCTGCACACAGGGGGGACCTCTCACCCACTGGCCATCCTAGTGTGGGAGACTATGCACCTGAGGACCATGATGGGGACAAGGGAGGAGCATGGCTTCAGAGAATAAGCATGTTTTCCTCGTCGCTTACAGTGGGAGTTGGGGGAAGGGGAAGGAGGAAGGATAGGGATGTGGGATGACGAGGTTGGCAGCAGACCCCCAGCACCCCAACCCATGACCAAGTGAGGAAGCAAGTAGCCCACACCCAGTTCTAGGCAGCATCCTCCTCCCTTCCTCTGGGGAAGCTCCTGAACTAGGAAATAAAGGAACCCACCCCCCCCCCCGGACCAAAGCCCTTTGATGACTTCATGGGACAGTGTGATATGGCACGGTCTTGTGCTTGTAATCTTTCCCTAACAGGGAGGAGGGAAGGGGCTCTGTGTCCCATACTGGGAACTTCGGGGGGGGCAGACCTGTGAGTAATGCACCCCAAGCCTGCAAGGGCAGCTTCTTCCCCGAATCCTCCCCTCTTACCGAAACAGAGGCCCAGACAACCCAGTGGGCTCCAAGGGACCTGCAAGAGGCTCCTCTGGGGGCTGTCAACAACCAAGTTCTGGCCCAGAGACTGTGGCAGAAGTTTCATCTGCTGTGCTCAGACCGTGGTGGCCCCCGGGAGAGGCTGGCGGCAAGTCCCGGAGGAAGCATGCAATTTTCTGTCCACCTGCCAAGCCTCCCTAGATAAAACCCAGGAGCTTTACCAAAGCCAGAGGCATCAGCAACACCAGCGTGGCTCTCCAGCCTGGACTACCGGAGAACAGATTCTGCTCAGGTACCCAGCCAGGCAGACAAGCAACGCCTTCCCGCAGCTCCGCAGCAAGCAGACTGATGCAGGCTCAGGAGGCCTGTACGTGGCAGCTCGGAGCTCCAGAACGACCCGGGGCTCTGGGATCAGCTCACCAGGCTGAGGCAGGCCAGGCCCTGACTGGCATTCCCAGGTTTTGGCTTAAGTAGCTTGCTGTTTTGCTCTGCCTCGCAGCCTGGAACCCTGGTGGCTGAGGCCAGCTCTCAGCTTTGGCCAGCCACCATCTGCACCAGAAGGGGCGCTTGGCTCTGAGCCCAACTTGCATCATCCCAAGGCTGGAGTTTGTCTCAGGAAAGGTCAGCATTTAACCCAGCATGAGCATCAGTT